CAGGTGTTTTGCGATTTATATAATTTTGTATATAGCATTTGCTGTAATGTTTTGCGATACTGCAGCAAAATTATATAATATTATATATTGTGTAATATAATTATATATTATTTAAAATTTCAGATTTTAAATATAACATATATTTAATATATTTAAAATCTTTTTAAATTTTATGCTTACATTCTTATTCTCTTTTCTTCTTGATTTTATATTTTATACTTGATATTCTCCCGAATCGAGTGCCGATTACTGTTTCGGTCTTGGAAACGCAGCTTTACATCTTTATTCCTTTCAAACGATATTCCAGAAGCGATATTCTCCCCTGTGCATTCGATAACGTCGCATATTACTCACCAGAAATAACATTCTATTACAATGTGTCTAAAGGAAATACGGGGGCGTGATACTTGCGTATCGATCATGAGCTATCGCTCAAGCAACGCCCGTCGCCTCCGCGAGCGGACGGGCAATTTGAATTTTGAAAAAGAATTTTGAAACGCCATTCCTCCCCTCGCGTCTCGCTCATGTCGCGAACGAATTGACGATCTCGGCAGTTCCAGAGATTCGTGTCTATCCTTTCCTCGGATCTCGCAGGAAGCGAAACGAAACAGCTAGTTACTCTATTATTCCTCGTCGAGAAACGTCTCATGGAGAAAATCCTATTTAGAAAGCTCGGATTTTTTGGTCAAATCCAGCGAAACCAACCCCCGGAGCGGCCGGCAGTAGTACGTAGTAGGTGTCCGGTGGTTACGAGGTGGTGGTGCGGTGGTGGTGGTAAACTGTGGAAACCGGACGAAGGTGCGCCGCGCGGCGACCAATCGGCGGCCGCGTCACATCGCTCCCCGCAGCACCGGTCTCCGCGTCGCGCGCGCCGATTGGCCGGCCGCGGGCCGCCGCGCCGTGCGAACCGGCGATTGCGCCGCGCGCGCCGCATTGGAAGTTGGAAGTATTGGCACTATTTGGCAGCCATAATGAACGCGAACGCCGGAGCGAGCGGTACGATACTCCCGTGGATTTGAAAAACAGATTTGAATTTAATTGAAAGTGCGCAGCCGCCGAGAGTGCGCGACAACGTCGTCGTCGATCCTCGATCCTCCGGTCGGTCCTACTTCCTCGTCAGCCGTAGCTGGCGTTTCTTCCCCGTGTGTGTGTGTGTGTAGTTCCACCTCGTCTCTTCTCGTGAAAAGCGCGAGACGTGAATCCGCGCGAGCGTCGCGTCGCGCACGCCGCACGTGCGTGACGTGATCCAACGAAGAAGCCTGCCTGCGAACATGGAGGTCGCGCGGAAGGTGCACTACGATGCGTGCGACATGCAGAACGGCGAGCTCACCTGGAGCTGCGGCGGCACCAACGGCGGCGGCGGCAACGGCGGCAACGGCGACGGCGACGGCGACGGCCGCGACAGTCCCGAGTGTCCCTACGTCCTCGACTCCTCCGTCGACGAATTCGACTCGCCGCCGCCGCTGCAGCCGCGCAAGCTGTTCAACGCGGCTGACTGCAACGACGACGAGCATCCCATCAACAACAACAATAAAATTCCGATCTTCGTGACAGGTTAGAGTTCTCGCTTGGTTAAATTGTTCGTGCGTCTTTGGCTGCGGC